TTTTCATAAATGGCTGCAAATATAAGTCTGTATCTTAAATTATTCTCAGTATTTTGTCATAATTATGTAATTGTTCTAGCAGTTCTTTTGTGTTGCCTAGAGAGCATAAGTACAGGTTTTGTTTTTCCCTCTTCTTCCTCTACTACCGCGCTTTAAAAGCTGTCTTGGCAAGGTATATGGCATTGTTCCAGTGCCCTCTACAAATCTTCATTCACTATTATCTGCTTTCAACTTCAAATGGAACATAAACCCTCCTCAACGAGTGAACCTATGTAGACGTATATGCTATATACCAGTGGTTCTCAACCTACCTAATGCCGCGATCATTTAATACAGTTCCTCATGCTCTGGTGACCCACAAACATAAAATTATTTATTGCTACGTCTTAACCAGTAAATATGTGTTTTCCGATGGTCTTAGGCAACTGTCGTGGAGTGAATCAACCAAACCCTGCACATTCGACTATTCGTGACGTTGGCGCTTCTACCGGCCAGGTCACATTTCCAATTTAGACCCGTCAGGTGGGTATATAGTCCCTTATATCAATTTATACCTCAGTCTGGTGGAATAGGTATTTCTAAAACCTCTAGTTGTTTTGAAAAGTCTTCATTTTCAAACTTACAGCTGTGGAATAGATATTTTCTGGATTAATATTCTGAATTCATAGAAACCTTTTTACTCCTTGGCGTACTAATACGGGACTTTTTTTCTAGAGACGCCAAGCGAGATTAGGCGGGTCAATCTTTGCCTGACTTCCTAGGTGTACAGAAGCATTTCACCTCTCTGATTAAATCTTGGCGCATTCAAAATACCAGCTTAATCGTTGAAGGATTTCTAAGCTTGGGTAAGTTGATTATAGTTTACGAGTACAATGATATATGTCTCTATAAAATTAGCCGCTGCTGCAGGGAGGAAAGATTCAGCTGGGAGACCGCACAGAACTAGGCCGTTCTTGGTTTCCAGGCACTCATAGCTCCTGAAATCAAACCTTTCCCTTCACAAGTTGATAGTTTGTACCCTACCTGACCCAATATTATTGTAAATATTTTAATGTAGCAGGCGATCTTTCTCTAACTTGTAGAGATCAGGTCGACATTTAAGCCAGCAGATTTAACTGGGTCAAGCTACAGCGTACAAGACGCTGTGACGTCAGAGGTTATTTTTAGCAGACACATCAAAACAGTGTGTGCGGTGAGCAGACGGTGGGTTGTATAAAATATATATGTGAGAGAGAGATGGGATGTATATCTATAAGTGCAGAGGTGGGGTGGAGAGTTGATATTCTATGTTTGATAGAGTCTATCTGTATCCACTCTGGTCCTCATCTCCTGTCCCTGTTACTGACGGACCGACAGAGATGATACATAGAGACTTATACTGTCTCATTATCCTGAGAGCTGTCCTCTGAATGATTACTAATGTGGATGTTAATAAACTGAGCTTGACATGTAACCCCAGAGATGACTGCTAATTCTGAGTTAATTCTTGATACAGGATGATTTCTCCTTGGAGGCCAGGCAGTGAATCGGCGGTCCACAAAACCACCAACAGGGAAGTCATCCATGTCTAAGCCAGTGGTTGGCATCAGATTATAAGCCAAACCTTTGTCATCCATCAAATGAAATCCTCAATTTGGTCTACAGACAACATTATGGGTGTTGTACCTTCACCATCATTTATCCGGTAGCTTGTTTGTGCCTCAAGTGATTGAATTAGTGTCCGAGTATCCTCTCCAGGATCTTAGGTGTACCTCCGGTGTTCGAGTGTCTAGTGTGGGACTGTCTTCAACGTAACAACAGAGTTACTGAACATCCAGCAAATTCAAGTGACCATGGATTCAGATAAGTGTGGTCAATCTTTGGTTTATTGCCAGGCTTCACTGTTAATCGTCCACATGATCATGATGATGATCTAGGCGGACTTTGGGAATCTCTAAGGCAATCAGTCCTTCATATCAATCTGAGTTCTTGAAGTCTTTGCTGATTCGTATATAATGCATGTGTTGCACTTATTACATGTTTTCAAAATTTTCATTACTTACTTGAGTGTCCATCATTCACTGTTCAAACTGTCTATAGATATATATGTTTAACTATTATTCGTAATCTGTGTTAAAATGGCTGTGATAGTACACTATCATAGCCTGGGAGCTATCCTTTTATAGTAGTGGGGGCGTCCAGCCAAGTTGCGCCTAGGATTATTATATATTCTGTAGTGCCATAACTTGAGTTGCCCTACTCCTGAAATAATTTGAGCGTATATTGGCCACGGGATACCCTTTAGACCAATACGAGCCGACGCCTCAACATTATTCTATTTCAGAGTGCTGTTGGTGAGAGCAACCCCTGTAAAAGGGTCGTTCGATCCACAAAAGGGTCGCGACCCACAGACTGAGAACCGCTGCTATATACTAATTTGACCATTAGAAAGAGAGTTGGAAGAAATATAGAGGAAGACAGCACGGAAGATTCTGGACAACCTTTAGGTATGGCATGGAAAAGTGTCAGCACATAACCTGAGATCGCAGGTTGTGGAGAGTCATGATCGCCAATGCAAGTCGGTATGGCAACAGATGATGAGGATGATGGCACTACATGACTGGTTGAATATTGCAGCTAGAGTCTGTACTCTATAGAATAAGGCGGACAAGCTCAAGCCAGCCCTCGTTCGTCACCTCTTTTTTAACTGACGGTCGGTTACAGTGTTCCTATTCTGTGTTGTCTTTGTGGGCCCTGATAAAACGATAAAACTCGGGCGACACGTGTAGATTCATCGTCAACATCTTCTGCTCCTACTCCTCCTCCTTCTCCCCCTCCTCCTCCTCCTGCGTTCGCCCGAAAATGTAATTGCGTTGTTCCCATTTAGGTGCCTGTCTGGTGATTATCTGAACCCTTCCCCGTGTGGATTCCGGGGCTCTATTATAAGGAAAACAAGAATAGACCCACTGTCTATCCAAAAGCATGTTGTAAGAGCTAACTAATTGAGAGCTTCCTTCGAAGTCGGCATTCATATGCCTGTGAGGCAAGGAACCAGCAGTCTGCATACAAATGAGTCAGATATGTAAAACGGATGCGCGCGCAACACTTAGTTTCTGGAGCACGACTGCAGTCTTCAGGTGGATGAACAACCAGAACTTTCCACCAGAGTTTATAGCTGGTAAACGCGAAGAAGAAGAAGATTATCTGTACCATCTTTGGTGACCTGGTTGCCTACTGGCTCGCCGGTAAACGATTTCGTCGCCGGCCTGGACAATGTTTGAGTCTGTCTCATTTGATCGTATCAACGCTGCTGGAGTCTTTTTCGGAGCTTTTGGTGGCGTGCAGTGCTAAGCTATTTTATGAGAAGGACACTACCTGGTCACGGTTATACCCCAAAGCTCCCCCTTCGGAAAAGCTGGTTGAACGTGACGATTTTTTTTTTTCCCAGGAAAGCACCTACCTACGATTCTCTGTTCGCTTCTACTCGAATGTGGCCACTATAGCGCTATCTTCTTTGACACATCTATTTTTCTCCCCCTCATCATTGGTGTTCGACCCAGCCTTTAATGGGTACCGGGTGCAGTCCTGGGAAGCAAAAGTGGTCGGAGTGATGTTGACTACAACACCCACCGAATGCCGATTAGTCTATAAAAATATAGGTCTAGTAGTACATGCCCATTACGACTTTAGACGTGGGAAGGCGTCCTTTAACTTAGCCTTTTTTTTTTTTTTTACAAGTACAATCGCTGGTGTAGTCTGGTCTTACCTTCTGTTATTAGATCAGTAGTTTGAATGACCAGCTGCTCAATTCCCGTCTCGCACACAGCCTTGCCAGATCCCACTGGTCTTGCGTCAGTCATGGGTTGTGGTCTCTGATCACGCATGCATTGTGGATCATATGAAACACACATTGTTAATTAAGATAAATTATATCATATCGTCGGCTCTGTGGCTAAGTCGATGCGAATGCTTCGTAATGCCGGGTTCGATCCCAGCTGCGGACCATGCGCCTTGCGTTGGTTTCGACAGTGCTATCAAGAAAGCCGACCGTCCGGCAAGCAATGACAAACTACTGGACGAAAATTTGCCTAGAAAAATCATTAAAATAACCATTGGGGTTGGTTCTGCAACGTACTGTAAAGGATACGCAACTAACCTAAATCATATCACGTTATATGGCATAATCTTCTCTTCTCCAGGACATCATGGTGCATAAGTGTCTGTATAACTGTTACAGGGCTAGATAAGTTGTTATCACACAGGCCGCCTTTACTTTCTATAAAATATCCTGGTACCCATGGTAAAGTACCAATTTTAAGCTGGGTCAATATGAAATTCATAATTTTTTTTTTTTTTTTTTTTGAGTGTGTTGTGCTTTATTTTGATATTATCTCAGTATAGAATAAGTAGGCGTCGTAACATTATCGGTTCAAGTATAATGGTAGATAGAGTCTGAGAAAGTAATCGAAAACTGTTAAGGATTACATTATCATATCTGTGGCATTTAAGGATGAAAGTCCACATCCATTCTCGTTTTTTATACTTGCTTGTCTGTCTGTGTCCATCCGTCCGTCTGTCTATCTGCCCCCTCCCCTCGCACTCTCTCCTTCTCTTTCCCTTTGTCTCCACCTTTTCCAATTTGTTCTTGCTCTCAAACTTTCTCTCTCGCTCCAACTCTATTTCTCTCTTTGTGTCTTTATTCTCTATTTTGCTTCTCTCTCTCTCTCTCTCTCTCTCCTTGACCCTCTGTATCTTCTTAATCTCTTTTTATCTATATGTCTTTGTCTTCAAACCTTTCTTTCTATCATTTCCATATACTCTTACTTTTTCTCTCCCTCTCCCCCCCCCCATCTCTCTCTCTCTCTCTCTCTCTCTCTCTCTCTCTCTCTCTCTCTCTCTCTCTCTCTCTTAGCTGAAAGAAAGTAGTAAAATATAAAAAACACGCTTTTGCGCACGCGCGCCTACACACACACACACACACACACACACACACACACGATTGACAGAACCAGCAGCCTGGTCTATTTGCAAGCTATACCTACCTGTTGACTATATACCACATGGCTGTTCTCGACTTTGTTTCTTGAATGCTTACAACGTGTCAGAAACTCCTTGATCTTTTCTTCAATTCTGCAGTTGAACTTCATAAAGCTGATATACGCCACATAACATAGGAACAGCGAGAAAGCTTCCCACCATTCGATTCTATCATTAGAGAAAAATCCGATGAGGCACGAAAGAGACAAGCTGTAGAAGCTAACGTCTCGAAACACAGGCCACCAGTGTAGAGCCAATGCTTCTTTACTTAGCACAACAGACGTGCCAATAACGAACAACAGGTTAAACACAGCAGAACCGACTACCGTACCGATACCCACGTCACTTTTGGAGACGAAAATTCCCAGAATGCTTGTGAAAAATTCTGGAGCAGAACAGCCTGCAGCCATGAACGTTCCCCCGGAGACATCTTTAGCTATTCCAAGCTTGCCCGTGATGACAATCAACGCAGGGACGAAGAATTCGTCACAGACAACAGCCAGGGCGATAAACATGTATATCATACCAATAATATGCAGGATAATTGCGCCATTTCGCAGCTGGGCAGCTGTAAATAAGTCGGTTGAATAAGATGTCGCAGTTATGTTTAATATCATTAACTTTCTGCCAATGAAATAAGAAAAATCTGAATGTCGTGTTGCTTGTCGAAATGTGTCATTGGGATAAATTATAGAACGTATAGTTTTATTTGTCACGAAAACGAGACTAATAACTCCCAGAAGAAACATCATCGTCTTTTAATAAAGTTGACATTACCGCAGAAACGTTTCTTTTTTTTTTTTTTTTTTTTTTTATGTCAGAAGAGGATTATGACGATGTTAACTCAAAAGTCGCCGAAGAATGATTGTTGGGCATTGACTGCATAGATATAACGAGCTAAAAGAGATATAAACTTAAGGGAATAAAGAGAAATGTTGTTGATACGTCAATGTAGCAATAGTAGTAGCAGAGCAACAGCAGCAGTCGTGTTGGTGGTAGTAGCAGCAGCAGGAGCAGCAGCAGCAGCATCAGCAGCAGCAGCAGTAGTAGTAGTAGTAGTAGTAGTAGTAGTAGTAGTAGTAGTAGTAGTAGTAGTAGTAGTAGTAGTAGTAGTAGTAGTAGTAGTGGTAGTAGGAGGTGTAGTAGTAGTTGCTGTTGATGATTCCAAAGCTGCTGAGTCTATTTTGAGAAGAACATTGCCATTCTTACTGAAGCTCAGGTTCACTGCAGCTGTTAGGTAGGTAGGTACTTTGCTGGGTGGGGGGGGTGGGGGGGGGGAATAGTCACGTTCAATTAGCATCCCTGAAGGGGTAGCTTTGGATTATAATTGTGACTAGATTAAGTGCGCCAGATAAAATGCTTAGCGCTACAAGCCACCAAGAGCCACGAAAAGGACTCCTGCAGTGTTGATGCGATCAAAGAAGACAGACCAAAAGACTGTCCCTGACCGGAGACGAAGTCGTCCACCGGAAAGCCACTGGGCGACCCGGTCGCTGATGACTGCAGCTGTTCTGAGGATCTATAGCCCGTGTTTGTGCAAATTAAAGACGGATGTAAAGGGGGGGGGGGGGGGGGTCTCAGTTGTTTGAAAATACAGGCATTAGAAGACAAGACGGTTGATGATTTCATAAGGCTGGGAATAAAATTCTTTTTTCTTCAGGATTGCAGCCCGAAAGATTGACAACCATTGATTCAAGGAGTCATTATTCGAAAGCAAAACGAACAGAAGCTAATCGCAAAAACCCTGTTCAACAGCATAACGCAGCTACTTCGGGGCGCCCAACTCTTACGAAACAACCTACTGTCCAGTGCGAGTAGTTATAATGCAGCGGTTCTCAACCTGTGGGTGGCGACCCTTTGAGGGTCGAACGAACCTTTCACAGAGGTTGCCTAAGATCATTCGAAAACACATGGAGGTGATGGCAGTGGCGCAAGTGTTTGCCTGGCTTGAAACACAAAAATACACCCGCGTATGACTCAGTGATTCAATGTGTATGATCCGGAGGGTTCAGACAGGTTCAGTGCGAAGACAATGGCTTGAATCATTACAGAAGTCCACTGTGCGTAGAGTCACCTTTATTTTTGTTCCGGGAAACGCAGGCGTCGATGGAAATGAAAGAGCTGATAGGTTGGCTGGATCCGCTATCACTACCGACGGTCGGCCTATGGATCATGCTGATATTATCAATGCCCTCAGAGAAATGGGAAGGATAGAGGACTTTGGTGGCAGTGAATCCACATCACTCGCCAGAATGGCAGACTTGGGAATTAAGACACAGCAAAAAACGAGACGTACACCAGACACACCAGAAGACTTGTTAATCAACATAGAACTGGTACTATTAGCCATCGGACGTTAGGGTTCATACTGAGGGGAGGATCTGAGCACCTATGGACATGTCTGGAGTGCAATGAGGATAACCAAACTAACTAACTAACTAACTAACTAACTAACTAACTAACTAACTAACTAACTAACTAACTAACTAACTAACTAATTCGAAAACACATATTCACTGAAGTTATGAAGAAGCATCGAAAATAATTTGATGGTTGTGGGTCACCACAATATAAGGAACTGTATTAAAGGGTAGCGGCATTAGGAAAGTTGAGAGCCACTGTTATAGTGTTTGATAAAGGTTATAACGTTAAAAAAATGTCTGCACAGATTTAAGCTCATTTGATTTTAGCACACCCTTTTTAATAAACCGAAAATATACACACACTAATAAAAAAAAAATTTTTTGTTTTAAACAATAAATGCAAAATCGAATAGCTAATAAATATTACAACGAAATATTTAAAACAAAATGATAACAGCGAATATGTGGCAGCAATGATTTCTGTAACTGCCCAGCATGTAGATATCCAAACCTGTTTATACACCTAGTTCACGTCTACAAACGAATAATGATCAGCCGAAATAGACCAGAATCCGACCAATAACAGACAGGCACTTTGCAAGACTAACAATAGCCATTACCGGACAAGCGGGTTCGTTTAGCACCGAGACTAATTACAGATGTTATCAAGTGTGGAGAATGTCAGAGATAAAAAGAAAAAAAAAATACTGCAGGAGAATTAAACGAACAAAAGGATTTCTCAGTTTAAGGCAATCTCCGCACATACGGTCGCAGTATGGGCCACAGAGGTGGTTCACATGTGTAAGCTGTACTTTTGTTTTGAAAATAATTATAACGAACTGGATGAATTTTATTTCGTTTCAATTTACAAATCGGTGGGAAATCGGTGCGATATTGCCCATTAATCTTAATTACTCAGATAGACACTAGTGGCTACGATCTTCTCCATTGCCGGTTTAACTCCACCGTTGCCAGTCTTAGGACTGGATGAGATAGAAGGAGAGTTGGGCTCGGGGTCGGCTACCAGATCCTGTAAAACCATGTGTACTACCTGAACTCGTCTAGTTATATTCAGATTGTTTACCCTATCTCGTCTGGCGCGATATTTCGTAGGGAATTATCCGTAGAGTCCATTATCAGTAAAGAACCATCAACACTAAAAGTTAAATAAAGGTTAGGAAAAGGTCCCATTTGTCACATACTGCTCGAGTCACGTGCCTAGGGAAAGATTTCTCCCGATGAACCAGCAGCACTCTGAAATAGTTATAAATATTGGGATGAAATGGTCTATGCGGAATCCCGCAGCTCCAGAGAACATCCAACCTATTTCAGGGGTGAGGCGACACAAATTATGGCACTACATAACATAAAATATTCCTAGGCGCAACTTGGCTTGACTTCCTTACCACTTCTACAGCCCCCAGACTAGATATTTTTTTATCACAGTCAATACAACACAATTATGTAATTTAATAATACACCACTCTAGATAACTAAGAACAGTGAAGGATGGACACTAAATCAAGAATGAAAAATTCCAAAGACATGTTATCATAAGTTCAACATATACAGATATGAATAAGGCAAAAGGAATTCAACAGAATCAATGACATTAAGGAATCACAGCCACATTAGATATGATTGACACAAAATTTGTCCCTAGGAGCCTTAGAGGGGGGAAAATTCCTACCCTCATATGGGGTGATGTGCCCATTGGAATGTGAGTAATATCACAAAGAATCTCTAGCCTCTAACTGTAAGTTTGAAAATGGAGTTCTACCAAGAGAACATTCAGAAATACTTATTAGGCCATAAAGAGGTGTAAATATATCAGATGGACTATATACCTACACAGACGGGTTCACTTTTAAACCTGATCTAATTTACATAGAGATGACAGAGTCTGGAATAGTCCAAGACAAAGGGGTGGCTTGGACTGTTACGTGACACCTTTACAAGTCAGTGGCGCATCCGGCATTTGGAGCTAGACTAACATTTTTTATCAGACATCTTGAGCACCCAAAGCACATTTAGAGGGGGGATTTCAGGCCCCCGCGCCTATTACCTTTTGGGGAGCGGTGAGGGAAAGGGGGGATGGGCTAGGCCTCCACCCCATAAACTTTGCAAAGGAGTTCACTGTTCTCTACATCGTGTATAAACGTTCACTTTTTAAAAACTCACATAAATAATAACAATAATAGTAACAACAACAATAATAATGTTATCATTACGCTCTCACAGAAAGATTAAGTCCTTTGAGCCTCGCTCCTAGAAAATAATATTGGAGTTGATGCCCCTTAGATTTCTTAGTGGCGCGCCTGTTACCCGTTAAATAGTGATCCTAAACACTGAGGTATACGTAAATTTCATTAGACAGTCATTTTCTCAAATCCAGCTCCATTAAAAAAGTTTTTTTGTCAATTTATGTTTCCACATTCTGTAGTAAATTGCAGTGGCCTTGTAATAAGTGTTCTTCAAAACATTACCTCTAGGCTAAATTCCTTTACAACCACAAGGTCACCATCGTCATCCCCGTTGAGGAATGCAATTTTTTCGTTATTTGGAAGCCCCACCCTGGCTTTTTTCCAGGGGCCGCAATTACAGCTTGATGGTATAACGCGGTTTCCGGTGCTTGTTCACGGATAATCCTCATTCGCATGGTGGCACTTTGTGTCACCGGGTGTTTGTCGCTCTGTGTGATGTGTTATTGGGGGAAAATTTACTTACATACAACCATTACTGGCAATATTATATTCACACACTATTACGTGTCCTGGGGAATGTTTCCGTCGGGCAAAGAATTTAGTTTTGTCAAAATGAAGAAATGTATGGCAACTCACGACTACTGGTTACCACACCTTTATAGTATATTTAAGTCTGAAATATTTTATAGCATATTTAGCTACCCATGACAAAAATCGCAGCTGCCAAAATCAATCTTCATATCTCAGATAGGTGCCTTTTGTTTTGTATATCACATTCCGTCCCCGTGTGGGTCGCAACTGTTGGTTATTTTGAATCCCCACCCAGGCTGTTGCCGGGGTCCCTAATATAACCCAACTTATGGGTTGAACGGGGTTTCTATGACTTTTCTCAGGGTGATTTTCATCCGAATGGTGGCACTTTGTGTTTATCGCTCGGTGTGATGTCCGGGTGGGGTTGAACGTCATTCAATCAGGTGCCTAGTTCATGATTCCATCAGTATGTGCAAGCAAACTCTACCAGTAAGCTATACCAGGCCACACATAACACTAGTCTGTGAAAATACTGTCATCCTCACCAACCATTAGTTACATTAGTATCATCACTATCATGCTATCATTATCATCATCATCACCACCATGCAATCAAGATTATCATTTATAACAGTAGTATAAGTGTTCGAGGCG